AAAGGACAACATCACCGTGTACAACGTGAACAACGAGAAGTTCCACGTTGCCATGGACAACTCGAGGGTGGGTAGAGGGGGTTTAAACGTTATTGTGTAAATTGCTAACCAAGGCGGAATATTTTACTTATACTACCTTTCACTACCTTTCAATTTTTATGAGTTTTAAATGCCAATAAAGTTAGTTCCTTGGATATGTATATATTCCATCAATTTTGTCGGCTAAAAATCCAAATATCCTGTGGGAATATTCCATTCCTTTCAGGGTTTGGTAGTATACAAGATGGAAATGAATGACAAGTTTGCTTGTCACTTGACTCCAATGAACAAATCTGAAGAGACCGACAGCAAGGACGTGGCCAACGCTTTGGAACAACCGGTGCGATTTACTTCATATTAATTCGGACTTTGAATCTGTGTTTACATCTAAACATACACAATACTTTTAATTGTGTTTAAATATATAAAGTGACATTTAAACATGTGCAAGATATGACTATAACTTAAACCTAACCTATACCGTCATGTTTTTAGAACACCGTCGAAAATACGACATCAGATGAAGATAATGAACAAAAGCAATTCGTTGCCAACACCTCCCCGATTAAGGACAAGTCTTTCCTAAGTCCCAGGATGAAGGAATTCTGCAGGAATCTGGAGGCATACTGGCTCACTCAGAAGGACGGCAACACTATAGCCAGCACCCATACCCCGGCAGGTACGCAAAATATAAATCTCTGAAATGTTAGTCATTTCCTGATTCAATACTTACAACTATGACCATGCAGTAAATTCACTTTTTACTTTCTACATACATGTAGAATCTACAAGACATTAGGAACATCACCATTACCCATCGTTTCGATTATATTATATTATATTATTTTTCAGGAAGTAAACGCCAGAAGCGAGCTTGCTCCTGGATACCTTACAGGTGTCCGTGTAGAATAGGCACATGCATAAGGTTCAGGATCGGTTCTCGGTGGCATTGCCGTTATAGGTACATATACATTGTAAGACCCTGTAGGAGGTACATATGCTCTGGTAAATAAACGCTGCTGCTAAATATATGTTTAACACAAATATTTTTGCAAAGTGTGATTAGTCAACTTTAAAAACTTCCCGCGACCATGTCTATCCCAGAATATTTCAGAACCATAAATTAAACAGGGTTAATCCACTGTTACATGGGTATTCATGAAATGGGAGCCACATGGTACCAGTACAGAGTGACGTTTCAGAAAAATCCCCTCCAGAGTTCTTAATCAGCCAATCCCAGGTTTTTTTTCAATAATACCCATGTGTGTATTTTTTGGTGTGTTAACTGTCATAACAACAAATCATTATCCCAGCTAATAGTAAGTTATGCATCATTTAGTTATTGTTCTATTAGCAATGACTCTATTACTATTTGTTTGTATTCAAATAGATTAAGCAATAATTGACTTTTTGGTGAAATGTTTTTTTAAATAAATTCCACGTGTGCATTTTTATATGTTAACTGTAATGACGGCATCATTAAAATGATTATCCTAGGTTATTGTTAGTTGATTATCCTAGGTTATTGTTCTTTTAGTTGTGCTTCCTTTCCGTTGTTATTTGCTTCGAATTTGAAAGATGAATTATACATATACATACAACATTGGTCAAAAATGTTGTCCCACCCCCATTTCCATGTACTTATATTATCAAAAATGATCACCTCACAGCTGTGAACTGTTAGAAATAGTGCTTTTTATTACGGATACCGTGTCTAACATAATTAATGGTTAAAGAAATACAAAATAGTGGTGAAAATATACATATTTTATACCATTTAGTAAAATTTATAAAAGGTACCCCCTCAAATCGACTGTTTCACTGTGACTTCTACAGATGTAAAGAAATGTCTATAAAATTGTTTTTCTTGATAAAATGTGTTTTCGATGTATAAGGTGTTAGTTTCAACCCTTATTCACAGCGGCTTGTTCACACGACTGCATGGCTCTTTGGCTTTACAGTTTTGTTTGGCGTGTGAAAATGAACCACAAACATCTTATTTCAGTTTTCGTGCTTTCGTGCATTTTCTCCTCCTTTTTGTCGATTTCATAGAGCTTTATTGATGAGATACATTAATTAAATGTCTTTTTTATTCATTTCTGGTCGTTTTTTTTCCTTGTCCCTGTAATAACTGCACAATATGTGAATATCAGCAAGTTTCTATTAATGGAGTATTTTCGCTGGATGAGTTGATTTGGAATGACCCTTAAGACGTTAAAAGCACCAGGGTATCCGAAACAGCACAAGATTTATGAAAAGTTAAATTTATGCAAGGGCCTTAGGTTTTGGTTTCAAATTCCCTTATGGACAACGCCATGTTATGGCTTTTCCGAATTGACCAACTTTTAAGAATATTTACTTTAAGACATTTTCTCTAAAGTCACTCAAGGGAAGCTAGTCCAAGGCAGGCAAAAATGGCCAGTTCCAAAATATGATGTTATGGCATTGTTAACAAAATGTATTCTTTCTCGTTGTTATGAATCAGTTTCTTTGAGTATATAATAAAACAAATGACTATCAAGGTGTTTTTCCTTTGGCCTATTTCATAAATCGATACTGCTTATCTGGTTAAATCTGAATTTAATCAATGTAGTATAGGTCAAAATATAGAAAAAAAA